CAGTTGTGCTACACATCTCACAAAGCCTGTAGAGGTGTTTTAAAAGCATAGGAACCATATAGAAATCTCATTGTTTGCACAGCGCAAATGCAAAACAAGAATGTCCTGGAACGTGACCAATGAGACCAGTACTGAGGTCATAACAGAAAGGTTCACTACATTATCACTAGGGGGGACAAGTTTCACTGTGACAACCGCATCACTGGGGGGACACGTTACACTGTGACACCCACAGGGTAGGGACACAGAACTACCTGAGTTTCTTTTATTTTTTATCTTTCCATTTTTTCCCGTATTTTTTATTTTCTTTAAAGATGATACAATCATTGACAGAGGTCTAAGATCTTGCAGACTTCCAGTTGGTGCAGTTTCACTTTTAGAAACGTCTCTTCTTTTTATTTTCTCTTAAAGCCATGAGAGGCAAGAAACAAAATGGTGGACAGAACCACAGGGGCCAATAAAACCCCCGCCCAACAAGAGTACAGGCTACCAATCACATGCTCAGAAGACATCACCACACTTCCTGGATATCATTGTGAGGGGGAATCAACTGATTCTAGCGATGCTAGGCGGCTAAACTTGTCAAGAAACCTAGCTTATTTTCACAGAGAGTGTATGAGGTTGTAATTACTAGGCCAAAAACAAAATGACTGCATTGTAAATCAGTCTTCATCAGGAGGGAAACACTAGTGGTGGGGGGGATTGGGGGGGGGGGGGGGGGGGGGGGATTAATAGTGTTGAGAGGAAATGATGTCACAGGTCCCTGTGAAACAGCCCTAGTGGACTGCTTTAGCGTCTGATCTGACGACACAGAAGGACATCTGAAACTTAGAGAGAAAGAGAGAGAGAGAGATATTTAAACTGTGTAGCTTTAAAAGTTGTTGTTGTACTAACTGGCTCTGTTACATTTTTGTTTTAAGGGATGGCGAATTGAGCTCTTTTTCTCCATCTCAAGATTCCAGACATGGCCAGCCGAGCACTGATTGGCTTCTGCAGAGCCTCTTGGGAACAGGAAATACAATCGCAAAGGTCAAAAGGTTAAATACATCCAATGTACTCCTAAAACACACATCTTTGGCTATATAATCATGATAAAATCATCCATCCCCAGATTCAGCTACCCACCCATCTGAGTTTACAACACCTATATATCTGTGAGACGTTGGTTCACTGTAGAGAATGTTGAAAGAATGCAACAAATGAAAAATAAAAACAATGAACAAAACAGTTTAAAATACATGTTTTTCCTCTTTAAGAGTGAAGACCTAAGGATCTTAAAGATAGCGTTTCCTGCAACTTAATAAAAAAAAGATTGATGCAGACTTGACGACACATTTCATATAGTAATACTGAAACCCATCGACAGATCATATCGGTGAAGCGGTTGTGGGTTTTAAGCAGCAGGGTCTGGGGACTCTAACTCACTTGCCTTTTAATGTGCTGTATTAACATGTAATAAACAGGCTTATTAATGCGAAAAATTAACATCTTATTCACTCAATGTGTTCCTATACACCACAGTTTTGTATTGTCAAAGAGTTTGACTTTTAGACTTGTCTCAAAATAAATTACTATCCTCCTCAACCAATACTACGCTAACTCTAAAGTCCACACTTGTAAATGTTCTTACTGAGGAGAAATGGTGTATTGTGCTGAAATTAGAGGTAATTCTTGTATGTCTAAAGGGAGTAAGATGGAGGCCTTAACTCTTTAGAGAGAACACTCCCTCTCTCCCCTAACGGACCGCAACAAAGGACAAGTGGAATCTTACATGATCATGTGCCTCTGACATCACTAATCAGCCAACAGTGACATCGCAATCACTCTCACTGTTGGCCAATCAGGTTACAGCTCTGCTGATCTGCATAATGAGGTAAAGCAAAAGGGAGCCAGCCCTCCTAAGTGCATCCAATCAAAGCACAGGGATCTGTCCACAACTGCTTTGATTCGCTAAACACTTATATCTAGGATATAATGGTCCAATGACGTTCTCCGTCTATGACAGTGTCATTCTGATGCCAACTCCATTTGGCACCAAACTCTCACGGATATCTTTTTGGCACAATTCTCAGATCTGCACTATTTGGTTTCTCCATACGATTAAAAGGCATAATTCACCACACTTCTAAACAACCCACTCATGGACACAGTGTGGAGAGATGACCATTTGTAACTTGTCATTTCAAATGAAATGGAGACACCATGATTGAGATCTTTGGTCCGACGGGTGAGGTAACATGATTTAAATTGTGAGTTGAGGTAAAAGTAACATGATGTTAAAAAATGTAGACTAACTTAAAGTAAAGTCTGAAACTGAGGTATACAGTCCGTATAAGAGACTTAAGGTTTATAAGTTACTAGTCAACATACTTGAGAGGTATTTAAAGTGTGAGGTCATATGTGTTGAGGTATATTTGTAAAATTACATTTGTATGTTGATGAGGTCTGAGAATTGAGGTACTGTAACAGTATGTATATGCAAGTTACTGGTTGAGGTAGGCTTTATTAGAATTGAGATACACATAAGTAAATGTGAGGAATATGAAAGTTGAGGTATATAAATGTTGAGGTATCTGACCGTTGAGGTAAATGAAGGGATGTGAAAGTTGATGGAAATTAGGTTGGAAAGCGCAGGCCTGCTCTTTCCTCTGAGGTAAGAAGTTCAGTCAGCGACCCACTAATAGCACCCATACCGCTAGGCTAGGATATGCTAAGGGAGTGGCTAACTTTACAAGGGAAAGGGGGATTTACAACCCCTCTAACAGTTCCACCTCAGAGGTGATGAATCAGAAATCTGTTAGCGCTCAATGGTTGTGTCGGCTGAGATGCTAATGCTAATATGGGATGCTAGTTATGAGTCATTCATGGCAATGTCACGTTAACATAGGTGGTGATGCTAGACTGAATCACACACAGATACTCTTTGGTTGCTGTGCGACATGGTCTGGTTTCAGACCTTTCTACAACATTCTCCTCAGACATGGGCCTGAAAGGTACTTCAAATTCAAAGCTACATAAAACTATTGAGTTTTATATGGCTGGGATTCTTGTCTCAACAAGATGTCACAGTACTGTGTGAATGTTAATAATATTTCACCACAGTTGGCCCTATATTCCTCTTCTCCCCATCTGACTGTCGGCATTGACAGTGCTTTGAACACATCTTTTTGGTGAGAGTTGGAGTGTTTTAGACCTCCAACACTAATGATTAAACAACAAAGTGTCTTCAAGGGGTCTTGTGTTTCTTTCGATTTGTAGTTCTTTAGATGCCAAACCTACAGTTGGCAGTTGTGCAGAAATTCTACCTTTGGTTGACTCCAGTAGCTGGGCTCTATACCTCAATCTTTTAGAGGTCTGGTCTGCATGCACATGTTCCGGAACACTCTCTCTCCAGCATTCCTGACTGGAAGTCAATAAATAGGGTGGGGCTTCGCAGTGACGTCACAAGGGGATTAGATTCAATTCTAGGCCCCAAGAGCCAATCGGAGTGCCCCACAATTCAACCCACAATCCAACCCTGATCTCTTATTGGCTCTCACCGCTGTCGGTCACGTCCTGTGGACAGCCACTCAAGATGCCCTCTTTATGGAGGCATCGTTCTCCACCCGCATCATTCACAACGAGATGTCACTCCGACACAATTCCTAATCAATCTCCTAATCAATAACATTTTTTTCAATAACTGATACAACATCCTGATAACTCCTGATAAACTTCTAAAATACTCTGTTTCGGAGTAGACAAATACTATATATTTTTTTGCATATGGATTTTCATTATTTTTCTTATATATAGATCCAGCGTGCTTTGCTTAATCAATCATAAACATATTCCTGTAATACTATATGATGCCTGACAATATTCAATTGATAATTGGATACTTTGGGACAGCAGGGACAATCTCCCCACAATAACAACAACAACAACACCGACTACCTCATGATTTCAACCAATCATCAAACTGCATCTGTCCCAGCTCCGCTACGATCAATAATCAATAAACTAGTAAAGCTTAAAGGAGATTCTTCTGATTCTACTGATCAGTTTTACCTTTGTCAACATCAGTCTCCTCCTGTGACTTGAGCTAACTAACTAATGCTGATTCAGTCTAACAGGCTTGGCATTACATAAAACCCTCTCTTCTTCTTTTGACAGTCTGCCATGACACTACACATTGAGAGATGAGGGGGCAATGCTAAACAGAGATTTACTAACTAACAAGCTACCCTAAACCTAGATAACATGAAATGACACCACTGAACGCTCCAGACTACACTCCAGGTCAGGTCAGGTTGGGCTTCTATAACCAGAACTAAACATGCAGCGTAGAACTACAGCGTCCGAGTGTCTCAGCAACAAACCACATTACCCAAGATGCACATCATGAATCCTATTCATCCTGTGCAAATATCAAACAAACAAAAAACATTTTTATGTTTCTCTTTAAATAAAAAATTAAGTATTGAGGTAGACTTTCTTTTCTTCTTTGTAAAACTTGACGGACTAGACCTCTGCTCGGAGAGTGTGAGTACATTCATAAAGAACTAGATGAGGTAGGTGGTGGAGCAGAGGGTTCAATATTTCAAGAAAAAGTGAGAAAAGTCCCTGAGATGGCGATTTGAGGAGAGTTTAGCGAGAGAGCTCCGAGCAGTTTAAAAGAAGAAAGAGAAATGGTGGATCTCTTCTTTGTCACTTTCACTACTGAGTATCAATCATCTTAGTGGTCCCCTTTGTCATACAGTATACCACAGGAATCTGATTAAACAATCTGAAGCTAAAAGTAAAGAAACACAAAACATTATCTACAAATCCGTTTTCCCTTAATTTCGTAATAACGTATTTCCGTCTACTCTGATCGTCTCTCTATTTAAACTGTCCTCTCTGTGTGTCTGTTTGTTGATTCCTCCTCTCCCTCTCTTTTATTTCCTCTCCCAAACTGAGAAACAGAGAGAGAAAACAGAGCGAGAGAAAGAAAGAAAGCAAATAGTTATTAGAACTCTTCAGAACTTGAGGATACGGTTGTTTCCGAAGTCGACGACCACGATGACTCCGTCGGGCGTCACAGCAACACCGGAGGGGCGGTCCATCTGTCCGAAGCCACTCCCCTGCATGCCAAATTTACATAAGAAGTTCCCGTTCGGCTCGAATACCTGCACCCGGTGGTTCCTAGAGTCGGCCACAATGATCCGGTTCTCCTGGTCCACAGCCACACCCTGTGGACGCAGGAACTGCCCGTTACCGGTTCCCTCTGAGCCCAGGAACCGGGCAGACTGGCAGTCCGGCCGGATCACCAGCAGACGGTGGTTGTTGAAGTCGGTGACGACCAGGTGGTCCTCGTGGTTGAAGGCGACACCGCGCGGTGAATCAAAGTGTTTCCACAGGGCGCCCTCAAAGCCATATTTGTTGATGAAGGAGCCATCAGGGCCAAAGAGCTGGACGCGGTGGTTCCTGGTGTCAGAGACCAGTATCTTCCCTGCAGAATTCACCGCCACATCCCAGGGGTAGTTGAACTGCCCGTTCTACAATAGAGTACAGTAGAATATCATTATTAGTTCAGCTCTAAAGTGTGTGTGTATACTGTAAGTAAGAGTGTGTGTGTGTGTGTTTGTGTGTGTGTGTGTGAGATTGTTTGATTGTTTCTACCTTAGTGCCCTTCTCGCCGAACTTCAGCATGAACTGCCCGTCGAAGGTGAACACCTGCACACGGTGGTTGTCTTTGTCCGCCACGATGATCCGGCGTTGGCTGTCGCACGCCACGCCCGCTGGACGGTCAAACTGACCGGGGCGAGAACCCAGGGAGCCAAACTTGTGGTAGAACGCACCGCACGGCTTAAAGATCTGGATGATAGGAGCAGTAGCAGAAGAAGAACATTGTTTTTTCAAACGTGATATTAGGTTGCCACTGTACACGCTATGCTTCAGTTCTCACTAGAGAGGGCTAGAGAGAGCTAGCTAGCATCATAAAACCATTTCTCCTTAGGATTCCAGTTGAATGAATGAAACCCACCTGTACGCGGTTGTTACTGCGGTCGGCCACGACCACGTATCCCTCCTTGTCCACGCTGATCCCCCAGGGGCGACACAGCTGCCCTTCCCCCTCCCCCTCACCACCGAACGCAGACACCGGGGACCCCAGGGCGCCGTAGCTCCGCCCAGACTTCACCAGCACCTTAGAACACAGGCAGGGAGAATGTTAACATTCTAACTTAACATTCTACATTGCTGCAATGTTAAAGTTTAATTACTTTCTTGTTGCTTAAGACAGGGGTTCCCAAACTTTTTCACTCAGGCCCCCCTCCCAGCATTGGGGAACATCCATGCCCCCCCTGCACGCGCGCACGAGCCACGTCTATTTCTATGGGCACAAGCACTGTTCATGACACAAACTGTTCACACCCCTCTTGTTGGCGGAGAGAACATTTTGCAGGTTTAAAGCTTATTTCCTGCAATTCTACACATTCTGTCATGAGGTGCAGATAAAATGTTGCAGTTTTAAAGCAAATTTTCTTGCATCTTGCAATTTGATACATTTAGCCATGTCTAATGTGTATTCATGTGATATTTGAGAGACTCAAACATTACTACAAAATCTATGGGCTAAAAAACCTAGATAAAAAACGTTAGCTGACATGGGCTAGTTGATCTGGACATTTCTGACAAGTTATAAATAGCTCTCTAAAGTATGCAATGACTGATATGACAAGAGGAAAACTAATGATGCACTACCCAATTTCGAAACTGCCTGTTGTGCATTCTACTATTACAACTTTCAAGAGTAAGTTGAAAGACAGACTGAGTTCCTTAAAAAAAACCACTGGCTTAAGATGGTCATAGAAAATTGAAATGTGCAAATATATTATTTGGTTGTTGTAACTATAATAATACTATACATTTTACCTTAAAGGGGCTACCCATGATGTGCTGGTTGCAGACCAGAACTGACACCAGATATTCTCCCTCTGCTTTGGGCAGGTAGCTGACTGTGTACGACCCGTTCAGGTGGTCAGACACCTCCGCAGCCGACAGGTTACCATCCGCCGCTGCCATCACTACTGCTGACACCGCGTCACCGCCCGAGAGGCGGGGCTCCCCGTCATGGTCGTAGCCAATCACGGTGAAGGAGGCAGGCTTGCCGCGGAGTGCAGTCTTTAGACCCTCGCCGTGAGCTTTGGTGACGGTAGCGAACGCTCCACTACTGATCAGCCCCATGGACTGGATGGCTATGTACAGGGCCTGGGAGAGATAATAATGATATCACATGAATAATATCATCAATAATACTATTAATAAGTCATGGACGAGTGGATATAGAAAAATAATGTACATGAAATTCGCAGACAAGTCAATACTTCCATTCGTCCAAAGAGAAATTTGGCAACAGTGTTGTACTATTACTGTAACAGTCAATAACATTGGCTCAGAGTGCACAGAGAGCCCAAAAATCTCTAACCCCTCTCCTCTGGTCAGGAGGAGTGAACATAGAGCAGTTATTTACCTGGTCTGGAGGCATGAACATGAACCTGTCATCCTCCTGTGGCTGCAGCAGTCCTCTGAGAGACTTGAGCTCCTGGATCTGGGTCAGCATACGTTCTCTGGCCAGCAGCACGTCCAGGTGACGGCCCTCGTCCAGCACCTGATGTTAAGTTATGAAGCGAGGAGACACAGACAACATATAATGACTTTAACGCCTTTGAACATAGTATTTAAAACCTGGTCGCCTTAAGCCCCCCCCCACAGAGGGGGACATGCAACTTCTCCCATACCTGAGTGACGGCTGCAATGGTGCTGTCCAGCTTGGTCAGGTTCTGATGCAGCTTCTCTACCTGCAGGTACAGGGACTTGGCTTTCAGCTGGCGGATTTTCTCAACCTGGGAGAGGGGGGGGGGGGGGGGGGGGGGGGCAGGAGAGGAGAGTGGGAGAAGGGTAGAGCGAGAGATTAGTTCATATGGGTAAGGGCAACCTCCAGTAGTGTGAAAACAGTAGTTTGTTAAATCTCACATTTTTTGCTCTAAATCAGGGGTATGATTTACTGCAGGGGGTCTGCAAATGTACAGTACCAGTCAAAGGTTTGGACACACCTACTCATTCAAGGGTTTTTCTCTATTTTTACTATTTTCTACAATGTAGAATAATAGTGAAGACATCACAACTATGAAATAACACATATGGAATCATGTAGTAACCAAAAAAGTGTTAAACAAATCAAAATATATTTTATATTTGAGATTCTTCAAAGTAGCCACCCTTTGCATTGATGACAGCGTTGCACACTCTTGGCATTCTCTCAACCAGCTTCACCTGGAATGCTTTTCCAACAGTTTTGAAGGAGTTCCCACATGCTGAGCACTTGTTGGCTGTTTTTCCTTCACTCTGTGGTCCAACTCATCCCAAACCATCTCAATTGGGTTGAGGTCGGTTGATTGTGGAGGCCAGGTCATCTGATGCAACACTCCATCACTTTCCTTCTTGGTCAAATAGCCCTTACACAGCCTGGAGGTGTGTTGGGTCATTGTCCTGTTGAAAAGCAAATGATAGTCCCACTAAGCGCAAACCAGATGGGATGGCATATCGCTGCAGAATGCTGTGGTAGCCATGGTGGTTAAGTGTGCCTTGAATTCTAAATAAATCACTGACAGTGTCACCAGCAAGGCACCACCACACCATCACACCTCCACCTCCATGCTTCACGGTGGGAGCCACACATGCAGAGATCATCCGTTCAGCTACTCTGCGTCTCACAAAGATACGGTGGTTGGAACCAAAAATCTCAAATCTGGACTCATCAGACCAAAGGAAAGATTTCCACCGGTCTAATGTCCATTGCTCGTGTTTCTTGGCCCAAGCAAGTCTCTTCTTCTTATTGGTGTCCTTTAGTAGTGGTTTCTTTGCAGCAATTTGACCATGAAGGCCTGATTCACGCAGTCTCCTCTGAACAGTTGATGTTGAGATGTGTCTTTTACTTGAACTCTGTGAAGCATTTATTTGGGCTGAAATTTCTGAGGCTGGTAACTCTAATGAACTTATCCTCTGCAGTAGAGGTAACTCTGGGTCTTTCTTTCCTGTGGCGGTCCTCATGAGAGCCAGTTTCATCATAGCGCTTGATGGTTTTTGCGACTGCACTTGAAGAAACGTTCAAAGTTCTTGAAATTTTCCGGATTGACTGACCTTCAAGTCTTAAGGTAATGATGGACTGTCATTTCTCTTTGCTTATTTGAGCTGTTCTTGCCATAATATGGACTTGGTCTTTTCCCAAATAGGGCTATCTTCTGTATACCAACCCTACCTTGTCACAACACAACTGATTGGCTCAAACACATTAAGAAGGAAAGAAAGTCCACAAATTATCAAGGCACCCCTGTTAATTGAAATGGTTGAGAGAATGCCAAGAGTGTGCAAAGCTGTTATCAATGCAAACTACTACTAGGGTGGCTACTTTGAAGAATCTGACATAGGCTTTGAAAAAGCAACCGCGAGTACCAGTCGCGGCAATTATTATTTGTATTTATTTATTTTACCCTTATTTTACCAGGTAAGTTGACTGTGAACACGTTCTCATTTACAGCAACGACCTGTGGAACAGTTACAGGGGAGACGAGGGGGGGATGAATGAGCCAATTGGAAGCTGGTGATGATTAGGTGGCCATGATGGTATGAAGGCCAGATTGGACAAGTGCAGCTGGCTTTTGGTAAGCTTTCTTGACTTAGACATACATTTTTGCCAACACATGACTAACCTTTGTTTAACCAGCTAAACAGCTGCTGCTCTTAGCAAAAATGTGTTTGGAGTTACCTTTCTAGCTAATAGGCTATGTTAGAGTTGACACTTCCTCTTCCAATTATATATGTGGGGAGGTCAAAATAATGAAAAACGGTCCCTGGGTAGCTGGTTTGCCTCGGTGGGGGTCCCTGGGCAAGAAAAGTTTGAAGACCCCTGCTCTAAATTACAAAAAGTATAGAATGTAAATCAGTGTACAGGTTATAGTGACCTGTGGAACACATGTACATCTTTCAAACCAAGACGTTTTTCCAATAACTTTAGCATCCCGCCAACTTTTCTTTATATATGAAAGGTATTGCCGCCAACCAACCTAGTCATGATTGCGGTAAAGTTCTGCCTACTGCTTAGTATGAAATGTAGCGGTAATGCTGAGGCAGCATTGGCACGCACTACGCTCTTAAGCTCTTGATGGTTGCTAGGCAGCGCCCCGTTACTACTATCCTCCTGCCAGTTCTAAACTTTGCGAGGCATGTCACTTCACCCATCTCTTTGCATAGCCCACCACATGCACAGTTTTCTTGACCATAACTGGATGGATCAATAAAGAATTACTGCGTAAATATTGGAAAAAAGTAGGCTAATGCAATTGAAAAGCAGGCTAATGCATCAAAGTATTGCTTACTGAAACTCCCAGTCATCCAATTTTTATAACACATTTGAACCAATAGTCTACCAGCGTGTGTTAAACTATTTCATAACCGTTTTTCTCTGCTTTGATACAAGCGTGGGGACTCGTCTTGATAAATCAATCACTGAATCTCCAGTTGGATATTGGTTAAGCAACAATTAGGCTGTAGAAATGTTAGCTAAGCTGAGGTGAGTGCTGCTCATGATCATCTTGTCTAGTTGGCTCATTTATTAGCACTGATCAGAACATTTTGCCAGCATGTTATATAGTTTAACAAGTGGATTATTTTGCTCTTCACTCTGTCGCTTAGTACCCTAGGCCTTCTTCCGACCAAAAGCCTGTGACTTGTCTTAACCAATCAATGGGATTTTGTATCACTGAATCTCCATCTGTATATTTGGTTAATTTCCTGGCTGGGCAAATAAGTGGAGGTGGTATAGCTCATCTATATGTTTGCTCATCTTTCACTGATCAGAAACATTTAGCATGCAATAATGTAGCCTAAATCAAGTGTAGGCCTATTATTTTGCTCGATCGCGTGTAGGTAACTCCAAAAGCCTGCAGAGGTTGAGAAATATGAACACGAGACTCACATGCTTTTGAAAATATAGATTGCTATTATTTTCTATCGGTATCATGATGAAGATACCCTCAAATGTAAGACCCTACGCCTGCTCCCTAACAAAGCGGAGTTGGGTAGGAAAGCATGGGCTTGGCGTGGGCTCGGTTTCAAAATATCACTATTTTTATATGACAGAGGTTACACAGATTCTCGTGACGTTGTGTGGGAAAAATATTATTTGTATTTTATCCTGTTATATTTCATTATATTCTTAGCCTACTATAAAATATGTATGTTGACTGTGATCAGTGTAGTCTAAGTGTGTCTTGTCTGTTTAATGAACAAAATAACTATTGATTTCATTTGCATTGCGCAGCCATGTAGCCTATAGACTGCACAGACCAGTAACATATATGCCATTATATTATTTTGAAAATAAATGTTATTAGTCTTAGAATGTTTCATAGGACTTGCCTAAACTAATTAATAATGGATTTCTTTGTGATGGTGTATATTAAATGGTTTTATTAAAATAGACATCCACCCACATCGGCCCACATCTACTCCCACTCCTAAACTTGCCGGCATGTGCACGGGAGATATAAAAGGCTTATCCTGGCAAGAAGGTGGTAAAAATGGGACTGTAGGAATTGGGCTCTAAAATACATTGCCCGATTTTTTTGTTTTGTTTACAGGCAACATACTGTAAAGTCTGTCTGTAAAGGGTAATACAGTGACAGTACTGACTGACTGAAAAGGCCATTCAACAGAAGGAGAAGGGATAAGGGGGGTTCAAAGAGGTAGGGGTTAACAACATTACTACACAAAACTTAACAAAAGGCTAACCTCTTCCTATGTTAAAGAGAAGGACTAAACCCCCCAGCCTGTCTGGTTCTATGTTAAATAGAACCTTTTAGCAGAAACAAAGGAGAATCTAAAAGAGAGACGGGGTCTTTGTTAGACCCTGTTGGAAGTAGAAGTGTGGTTTGAATCAGGGATAATCCTGTTACGGAGACGGGAGGGAGCCCCCAACCTGGATCTGTCTGTCTCACAATAGACTTGCACACACATGCGTGCACAATGGTTAAACCACGCTACAGAAATCTCCCCATCTCCTGTTTAGGTGTACTCCTTCTCCCTCACACACATGCACGCACACACACACACACACACACACACACACACACACACACACACACACAAAAGACTGCTTGGATTTCAAAGAGAAGGAGAGAGTGTGTGTGTGTGTGTGTGTGTGTGTGTGTAAGGGGGTTAGCCTTTAATGACTTTATCAGGAGAGAAAAGTGAAGCTGGGTTCTGTGGGTATATATGAGGGCTTTAAAGAGAGACCACGGTAAGTGAAAACCTCCTGTATGATCTTCTGACCTCACACACACACGAGCTGGGCGATATGGACAAAAATCCATATCGCGATAAACTGCCTGAATTGATGTGATAAACCAGTTGTTTTTTTTAAAGATATTTTAAACTACTACTACTAGTTTGATGGTTGTAGCCATAAATTGTCCCATTAACAATCACACATATTAGCAAATGTATTTCATTTCACATGTCACATTTCTCTTGTATAGGCTATTTATCGTGGCTACTCAATGAACAATATCAGCAAAATGCCTGCGATAAGTGATCCATTTGGTCAGTGTCGATAATTTCTGGTTTATCATCCCAGATCTAACACACATGAACACACATACACACACACACATACAGTGGGGAGAACAAGTATTTGATACACTGCCGATTTTGCAGGTTTTCCTACTTACAAAGCATGTAGAGGTCTGTAATTTTTATCATATGTACACTTCAACTGTGAGAGACGGAATCTAAAACAAAAATCCAGAAAATCACATTGTATGATTTTTAAGTAAATAATTTGCATTTTATTGTATGACATAAGTATTTGATCACCTACCAACCAGTAAGAATTCCGGCTCTCACAGACCTGTTAGTTTTTCTTTAAGAAGCCCTCCTGTTCTCCACTCATTACCTGTATTAACTGCACCTGTTTGAACTCGTTACCTGTATAAAAGACACCTGTCCACACACTCAATCAAACAGACTCCAACCTCTCCACAATGGCCAAGACCAGAGAGCTGTGTAAGGACATCAGGGATAAAATTGTAGACCTGCACAAGGCTGAGATGGGCTACAAGACAATAGGCAAGCAGCTTGGTGAGAAGGCAACAACTGCTGGCGCAATTATTAGAAAAGTTCAAGATGACGGTCAATCATCCTCGGTCTGGGGCTCCATGCAAGAACTCACCTCGTGGGGCATCAATGATCATGAGGAAGGTGAGGGATCAGCCCAGAACTACACGGCAGGACCTGGTCAATGACCTGAAGAGAGCTGGGACCACAGTCTCAAAGAAAACCATTAGTAACACACTACGCCGCCATGGATTAAAATCCTGCAGCTCATGCAAGGTCCCCCTGCTCAAGCCAGAGCATGTCCAGGCCCGTCTGAAGTTTGCCAATGACCATCTGAATGATCCAGAAGAGGAATGGGAGGTCATGTGGTCTGATGAGACAAAAATAGAGCTTTTTGGTCTAAACTCCACTCGCCGTGTTTGGAGGAAGAAGAAGGATGAGTACAACCCCAAGAACACCTTCCCAACCGTGAAGCATGGGGGTGGAAACATCATTCTTTGGGGATGCTTTTCTGCAAAGGGGACAGGACGACTGCACCGTATTAAGGGGAGGATGGATGGGGCCATGTATCGTGAGATCTTGGCCAACAACTTCCTTCCCTCAGTAAGAGCATTGAAGATGGGTCGTGGCTGGGTCTTCCAGAATGACAATGACCCAAAACACACAGCCAGGGCAACTAAGGAGTGGCTCCGTAAGAAGCATCTCAAGGTCCTGGAGTGGCCTAGCCAGTCTCCAGACCTGAACCTAATAGAAAATCTTTGGAGGGAGCTGAACGTCCGTATTGCCCAGCGACAACCCCGAAACCTGAAGGATCTGGAGAAGGTCTGTATGGATGAGTGGGCCAAAATCCCTGCTGCAGTGTGTGCAAACCTGGTCAAGACCTACAGGAAACGTATGATCTCTGTAATTGCAAACAAAGGTTTCTGTACCAAATATTAAGTTCTGCTTTTCTGATGTATCAAATACTTATGTCATGCAATAAAATGCAAATTAATTACTTAAAAATCATACAATGTGATTTTCTGGATTTTTGTTTTAGATTCCGTCTCTCACAGTTGAAGTGTACCTATGACAAAAATTACAGACCTCTACATGCTTTGTAAGTAGGAAAACATGCAAAATCGGCAGTGTATCAAAAACTTGTTCTCCCCACTGTACATACACACACATTCATACACACACACCGCCAGCAGCTGTAGTTTTTATGGTGCTAGCGGAAGGCTATGAGTAAAGGTTGGTTTTAATGGTAGACTGGTGAGGATCAGGTTAAAGCTATGGGTCCACCTCTGACAGGTTAAAACATGAAGGGAAGGGTGTGTGTGGGGGCGTGTGGCGGACCAGCTGTGTCCTTTGATTACATGATTAAAACCATGATCTCCTCTCTCCGGCCCCTGCACCTTTCGAACACACACACAAACATACACGCTCACACAAATATGAGTATTCTGCATATTAAAAGGGACATTTCTCAAATGTTCAACTTCATATTCATGATCTCCAGCACCATCCCAATACCAACAAATGTGAAAATAGCACGTTTCTATGTTTTGTAGTAAAAAATATAGGAATTAGTAAGCAATGCCTACTCATAATTGGTTAAAATTACATGATGTACACGGATGATGTCATTGGAAACATTTATCTTCCTCTATCTTTTTTTCTACAAAACATAGAAATGTGCCTTTTTTTACATATGTTGATGTTTGGGTGGTGCTGGAGATGATGAATATGAAGATAAAAAATTGTGACATTTCCCTTTAAATCAAATCAAATCAAATCAAATGTCCCTTTAACTTGTTTGTGAATATATGCATGTTTTACCACTGGCTCTCTGGGTTTCACATGAGTTGATATATCCTATTCTTGAGCTCCAACAGCAGCCCATTCTGATTCTAAATCCAAGACTTCCTCTTCAGAGTCAGAGAGAGTTGTGTATCAGAGCCTGGAGATACTAGGTACAGTTTACCCTGTTTGTTATTGAATCTTCAATGGGTCAGGTTTCACTCTGCATTTAGGCCAGGTAAAGAGAGAGGTTCGTAAACACTGGCTGAGTCATGAGTCAAACACACACACGCACACACACACACACACACACACACACACACACACACACACACACACACACACACACAAAGCACTAGTAAAGTCATGTGGGTGGACAGGGAGAATCAGGTCACGCTTCCTGGTTCTGAGGCCACATAGTCATACCTGTGTCAGGCAACACACGTGTAAAAATCCAACATACCACACCTCACATTCCAGCTACATGCAAATACTCCACTACACTGTTAGGTGTGTATGCAGACATGTAGAACCAGCACAATGTGTCTATAGATGTGTAAATAGATTCCCACCAGTGGAGGCTGCTGAGGGGAGGACGGCTCATAATAATGTCTGGAACGGAGCAAATGGGATGGCATCAAACACATGGAAACCATGTGTTGGATGTATTTGATACCATTCCACTCATTCCACTAACCATGTAAACCAGAGAGAGAGAGAGAGAGAGAGAGAGAGAGAGAGAGAGAGAGAGAGAGAGAGAGAGAGAGAGAGAGAGAGAGAGAGAGAGAGAGAGAGAGAGAGAGAGAGTGGAGAGCAGAGAGCAGAGAGGAACACACACACACAGATGGAGAAAATAAAATACTTACCTTCCAGAGTAGCTGACACTCTCTCTCTTCCAGGGCTTTCTTGTGTCTGAGGATGATGTTCTTCACCTCTGTCTGAACCACCTTGGCCTTGATCTCAACCTGCTCCACTATGGCCTGGGCTTTCTCCATACTCAGCTAGAACACAGGAACACGATATTACATGGTTAGAAATAATACACACCACCACCTTGGTCTTGATCTCTAGCTGCTCTGCTATGACCTGGGCAATACAATAAATAACAGGTTAGAGATTTGACAAAACACCACCTGCACGTTCTCCATACTCAGCTATAACAGGGGAACATGATAGTACAGGGTCAAACTGACCGGGGTTAGAAATATCATACAAGACCACTGGACTTTCTCCATTCTCAGATGAACAAGAACTAACAAGGTTAGAAATACCACACTTCTCCATATACTCAGCTACAGTAGATGTAATAGAATATAACAGGGGGTTTGAACAATCACACACCACCTCCTGGTTGGTCCATAGTCAACTCCACACAGGAATATCAACTATATCATGCAGGAAACAGGAAGTGGCCAGGAAATATGACTTAAAGGTGCAATCCGCAGTTAAAACAATAACAAAGCATTCGGTAAAAAGCTGAGGGATAGGGCTGGAGAAATGTAAACACTCTCAAAAGTATAGACAGAGCTGTAGAGAAAAGGACTGACCATCCATGGAATCAAAAGTATAGATTTAACCATGTTTTGAGGCTATACAGTGTTTGTTTACATTTACTTTGTTTACAAACAGTGGAGTAAAACAAGCTTATATTTTGGGTTCTGATGGTGTATGACAGTTGAACTAAGCTCATGAGGCATTTATTTATAAGTTATATTTTTCAAGAATCAATGTGTACAAAAATGGATGTAGCAACTGCAGTGCCCCTTTAAAGACACTCTATAACACATCATCACCCTCTCATGTGACCAGACACCTGCTCTGTTATGACATACTAAAATTCAGAAAGTAGACAGGACACAGGATATCTGGGGGTCAGGAATAGCACATAACCTCACACAACACAATGACACTACATCCCTCCTAACATAGGTGGTAGTTCCCAACTCCTCACTTCGCAGATCTTACTCAACATGAGCAGTGGCCTTTGAAGTCAATGAGTGTGAGTAGGAAGATAAGCGACAGTAGAGGGAGTAGTGTCACTTTGGGATCATAGCTTTCACCTGGATTCACCTGGTCAGTCTATGTCATGGAAAGAGCAGGTGTCCTTAATGTTTTGTATAATATTTGTCATTTATGTCTCTCTCTCTCTCCCTCCCTCCATTTCTTTTCCCCCTCTCCTTACTCTTCCCCCTCTGTTTATCACTCTTTTCCTCCACTCTCTCTCTTTATCAGTCTGTACCTCTCCCTCCTTCATTTTGGGGGTCAGGGGTGAGTTGGACCTCACACTGCCAGGGGGAGGGGCTCCTTTGTGACATCACCTGGAGTGGGGTGTCAAAGGTCACTTAAATCCCCCTGAGGTCATTGACCCCTGACCCATGGCTAAAGACCCACACCCTGGGGAACAAAGCCTGACAGCAGGGTCCTTTCTTCTCCCGCTGGCCGTTTGGGACGGGCAGCTAAAGGGTCAGCTATATCAGGACCCCTGGAGACAACAGCAGGAAGGGAGGAGGGGAATGGCTTTATCAATACTGACAGAGAAAGAGAAAGAGAGGGAGAGGGGGGAAGAGAGAGGGGCGAAAGAGAGAGCAAGAGAGTAATAGGAGAGAGAGAGAGAGATTTGGGACTAATTGTAAGCTCAAATGTGTAACACAAATGACATTGAATGAATGAACTAGGAGATACAGTATGTGGTCCTAGTCCTGTGTGGCTCAGTTGGTAAAGCATGGCACTTAACACCAGGGTTGTGGGTTCGATTCCCATGGGGGTCCAGTATGCAAATGTATGCACTCACTACTGTAAGTCGCTCTGGATAAGAGTGTCTTCTAAATGACTAAAAGTTATTTTTTCAAATGTATGTTTTAACTGTTAAGCGTCCATATGGCTGATCATGGTAAATGTGTCCGCTTGGGACACAGGAGGTAAAATTGACCAATCAGAAGCAGCGTAAGGCAGCTCCGGCCAACCAGCAGGTCACAAGTTCAGGGTCGGAGGTCTGAGGAGATAATGGATGTGGAGTGGGCAGAAATATTCTGGTACAGAGGTGGTGTGTTTATGTGTGTGTGTGCCTGTCCGAGGTCTGTATCAGGATATAGAGAGAGGGACTAGTTGTAGAGTGATGATAATGTGGACTCCTCTTATGACGTACATAACATAACCTTGGCTTGGCTTGCTGGACTAGATAGTGTTTCAGGGTTACGCTGAGTCCTGACCAGGTTAAAGCCAGGTGTACACTACACGATGTTGGTCCCGATTTAGTTTTTGAGATTGGAGACAAAATCCCCATGTCATTGCCTACTCGGGCGAGCGGCCGTCACCGACGCTCGTTTAATGAGACGCAATCTGTGGGCTACAGATCTCGTCTTTGAGCAGTCCCAGACGTCCCAATATTTTCAAACATGTTTGATTTTATCGGCACAAAATCTGCAATACTCTTGTAGCGTGAGATGTGCAAAGACACGTCTTGAGAACGGTAATCAGACATAGCCAATGAGAGCTTGCCAGAGAAGCCAGTGAGATGATGACATTGTTTTGCATCACCCAGAATGTGTAGACTCTCGAGCAGGAGCGATGACTACTACGAGTATGCGTTTGTACTTGCCAAAGCCAATGTGTCAAATCGTTCTGAAGTCCACAAGCAATGTTATTCAATTCAAAATGTTGGCTAGATATTTCAACTCTGTATGGCAAGCGTGAATGTCTGACTGAAAATATTTCTGAGGCTGCTTTGAGCCACAGCTTGTTGTAGCTACGTTAAATCTAATCACATCATCACATCATTGTTTTAACGAGACAGCATGGTATGGAGAATCCTCACGACCAAGTGAAGGATCTTGTAGTGAGTGACCACCGTCTGTGCCACATTGTTTAGTGTGCGCACCACTATGTTGGCAAGACAAAAAAAAAACTACAGGAAAGATGGTCGTTTAATGTGAGAGGCTCAGCAATTTTAGGATTTTGAGAGTTGTCTACTGTACACCCGGCTTTACACACACCTTCCAGGGTCGAGGTTCACAACATTGACCAACCTTCAAGGGAGGTTACATAACATCTCACAACTCCTGGTAACTCTGGTTTCCAGAAAGTACTATAACAAAGCATCCCATTCAGCAACATACCCATCTGTTTCAAAACCATTCTCAACTGTTCAGAGGGAGTGAACATAACTCTGCAGTCTCCAGTAGACATTCAGAGAATGTGTGTCAGTCAGAGTGATTACATCAGTAACTGTTTTTAACAGTTAACCCTTTGGTACTATTAGGCGAACCTACTCTCAAAATCCATTACTAATAACACAACACTGTACAATAATAAAGGCAACGTTTCTTAAAGGAAATATTTCCTAAACCCATAGAATGAATAGAATACTATTTATGTGTAAAAGTTTTGCTCGATCTAATATCTATATCTTTTTAATTATTATGTGTGTATTGTTTATTTTGTTTATTTTATTATTGCTAGATATTAGTGCGTTGTTGGAGTTGGAAACACAAGCATTTCGCTGCACCTGCGATAACATCTGCAAATCTATGTATGTACGCAACCAATAGAATTTGATTCGGTTTTTCTCAGTCTCAGTGCCAGCTGCTTGTCAGTGAACACGTGTCTGTGTGGGAGGACATGGGTATCAACACCATGGCTGAATAGATATTATCTAGCATTATCAGTAACACCCATCTTCTCCCCTACTCCTCCTCTTCTCTCCCTTCCTCCGTCTTACCCGTCTCCCCTTTATTCATCCCCTCTCTTCCCCTCCCCTCGTCCTGCTTTAACTTCCCCTCTTCTCTCTCCCCCTGTCTCACCTCCTCCCCCTCACCTCCTCTCTTTCACATGCGTAACTTGGGTAAATGCCATTCTCTGCCGACCCCCAGCCCTACCCCCTACACCCGTCACCCCAGGCGACCCAACCCCTCCCAGGGCCAGCTGGCTACATCTAACCCCATGCTACAGTGAGGTCTAGAGAGGAGTGTGTGGGTGATATGCAGAATATCCCACATTTCTAAACTGGTGCTGGGACAAAAACAACCCTGCACATTGACTCGGTACCAGTACCCCCTGTATATAGCCTCATTATTGTGTTACTTTTACATTTTTTGTCATTTAGCAGACGCTCTTATCCAGAGCAACTTACAGTTAGCAAGTGCATACATTTTCATACTGGCCCCCTGTGGGAATCGAACCCACAACCCTGGCGTTGCAAACACCATGCTCTACCAACTGAGCTACACGGGACTGTGTATTTTCTTAACTCTTATTTTCTTAAAACTGCATTGTTGGTTAAGGACTTGTAAGTAAGCATTTCACGGTAAGGTCTACTACACCTGTTGTATTCGGCGCATGTGACAAATAAAATGTGATTTGATAGATTTGATTTGACACACACACAGACAGACACTCACCTGTACAGCCTGTCTTCCTTGCTGTGCATCGGCCAGTAGCTGGATGGTGATGGCTCTGGAGTCCTGGACAGCGTCCTGTAGATAGACGAAGCTGTGGCCCATGTGTCTGCCCACACTACACTCCCTACAGATAGGCACCGAGCACGTCTCACAGAAAAACAGAAACACCTTAACGAGAGCGGGAGAGAGAGAGAGTTCATTAAATCATGCTATCAAAACATTATCAAATATATAATATATAGTTTTCTAATGGGTTAAGTGCTTTAATATGTTAAGTATTAATTGTCATGGAAGAGTGTATGAGACCAGAAACCATTGGGAGATTGTTTTTTTATTGACTATGAGGTGTGTTGACATGTAAATGCTGCAGTGCCTGTTTGATTGAACACAACCCCTGGTCCTCCTCAGGCTCAGAGGGCTGACAGTGAGATGAGACAGGGCTATATGGGGCTTTATGGATCAATACACCAATAAGAGGGCTTAGTACACACACACCGCACACATACACACACGTACACACATATAAGCTTACATTGGGTTTCGAGAAACTGACTCACTAAGTGAAACCTTCCAAAAAGATCATCATCAACTGATCATAACAAAATGCATTGATAAATCTGTAATTTCAACACATTGAAATAAATACAAAATAAATAAAAAGGTTTTAATTCTGACTCATTGATAGTCACACGTAACCATTAGAATGACCTAAATCTCCTATACACTGTGATTGGTTACAAAAGACTCATTAAATATGCGCTGAGCGACAAATCCTGGAGCGACAGGGATCAATGTTGTCCAATGTGAGTAGAGCGGAGGGGGGTGGGAACAGCAATCAATCCATCAATAATGGCTCCGGTCCCAGGGGAGGCATGATATAATGACTCACACACACCCTCCTTTACTTTATGCTACTCCCTTCCTGTTCTCCTCTCCTCGATCCCTCTCTTCTCCTCCTCCAGCCCCCCCCCCCCCCCCCCCCCCCCCTTCAACCGCTCCAAAATTCCAAGGGGAGGGCAGAACAAAAGGATGGAATGCAGCTGATTATAGATGGAGGGGTGAGGGTCAGACAGGAGAGAAAGTCTTCAATCTCCAACCAATGAGCTGAATCATCTTGATCATTAGATCCTAAAACGCATCTGCTCTTCACTCTTCTTATCATGTTGTTTTTCTTTCACTTTTTTCAAAGACCTCCGATAGATTGGACTAGCCAAAAAAACTACTTTGATATCTCAATATGAAGGAGGAAAAACCAACATAATAATTGAGCATTCAGCATTCCTTTACTTACATTGATCATTAGACACAACAACAAAAAAGTTTTGCTTTTCTGAGAAGAGACAGAAACTGGCTAAAGGATTTTGACCATTGTTGTGTCAAGCATGGTTGCGATGTTGAGATGAGATCCCTTTACCTACAAAAGAGAGACTTATAGAGAGAACAGTGTTGTCATGTTTTCACTGTAGCTAGACTACATGGCCAGTTGTATAAAGACACTTACTATAGGGACTTCACCACCACTATCATGTCAGCTGCAACAATGAGTCACACACGGCTGGGGTTTCTTGTGGATTACATAACACCTGGAATGGATTTAATATTATTGACTGACCCACACAGGATCTACTAGCAATTCCCCAGATTCATAGCCTCCAAGAATACATCACACACACACACTATCCTTGTGGGGACCAAAAAATTTACCCACTTGACCGAATTTTCCTTGTTTTACTATCCTTGTCAGCACTTCTGGTACATTTGAGTCATTTAGCAGACGTTCTTATCCAGAGCGACTTACAGTTAGTGAGTGCATACATTTCCATTTTCATACTGGCCCCCCGTGGGAAACGAACCCACAACCCTGGCATTGCAAGCACCATGCTCTACCAACTGAGCTACAGGGGACAAGGATAGTTAAACAAACACACACAAATTCTCTAGGCATTCCATGAGCCTGAGTGACAACACAACACACACACGCGTTGAGAACAACTAACACACACACGCGTTGAGAACAACTAACACACACACGCGTTGAGAACAACTAACACACACACGCGTTGAGAACAACTAACACACACACACGCGTTGAGAACAACTAACACACACACGCGTTGAGAACAACTAACACACAGAAAGCACATGACACAGAAACATGAAAAACAAGATATGTTTCAGAGAAAAGCTGACATCATAGGTGTGCTACCAAGTTAACGGGGGTTGTAAATTCTACACAGAACATTCTAGAACCAGAGGAGGCCTTTAGAGACAAATCATTCACAGAGTCATGCACACTCACCACCCCAATCTACTCCTGATCACAACCACTGTCCTTCTGTATAGCCATTGTAACTGTTTTATGCAGGCTTTATAACTGTTTATGACCCCTCTAAGCAGGCTGTGTGACCCTCGACCATAAAGTCATAAAGCCAAGACCAGGCTCTATTCTCTGCTCCCTGTGTTCAGCTCTCAGGTCCCAATAAAGCATTACCATTTTAAAAGAAAGAAAAGGTCCTATGGGAAAAGGAAAACCTAGTCAGTTGCACAACTGAATGCATTCAACCAAACTGTGTCTTCCACATCTAACTCAGAGAGGTGCGGGGGGCTGCCTTAAATCAACATCCATGGCGCCTGGGGAGCAGTTGTTGTTGGGGGTTAACCGCCTTGCTCAAGGGTAGAAGGGCATTTTTCACACCTTGCTGGCTCAGGGATTCAAACCAGCAACCTTTCGGTTACTGGCCCAACACTCTAAACTGCTAGGCTATCTGCCTCCCCTTTGGTGTGCGATGATACAACTGCTAATGACAGGAGAGAATGACACATATTTGACCTTCTATGTATGCCTGCATGTCACACATACACTCACCCACGTAAGCGGGCACATTACACATAAACCCACGTAAATACACACACACACACACACACACCAGAGGCAGGAAAACATGAAAGGTGTGTGAAATGGGTTGTGGACTGGGAAGCCTGGGGGCCTTCTGGGAAGGGGATGGATGTCACACACGCTCGCTCATATACACACACATTCATAAAAACCCTTTCAGTGAAGCAGAGCTACAGGGAAGTGAGTTATTGTATTTCATTAGTGCACCGGACATGCCCCCCCCCACACACACACATAAACCTCCTTGTTTCAAATTAGAATAATAACAGTAACATAAAGCTAAACAATTTACATGGTGGCTAATGGCTATCTCTGGTATACAATGCTAAATTTTACCATGGTGGCTAGCTGTCTGGTTTGCTATAAGGTTAGCATGGTTGCTAGCTCTCTGGTAAAGAAAGCTAATGGGTTAGCAGTATGGTGGCTATTACCGCTCTGGTTTATAAAACAAAAAGGTTAGCAAGCATGGTGGCTAGCTCTCTGGTAAACAAATATAAAGGTTAGCAATAGCATTGTAGTGGTAGTTAGGACCGGAGTTCACATTCCTTGTAGCCAAAGGGATACGGGGGAGGGGGTTGAATAGCCAGTAACATCACACCATGGTGTCAGAAACTCTACCTGCCTTGGAGAAACACTGTAAAAATACATTTTTGTAGAACAGCCATGACTGCTTCACATTATCCCTTTCATACACAGACCAAAATGCCACTAATTTACCATGCCTGCTTTTTTGTATATCTGAAAGAGGTATGTGGTAAAAAAAAACAAAAAAAAACAGGGTAATTTAAAACCCCACTAAAGACCTAGTCATGATTCCTGCATTTTCACAGACCCTGTAACCAAAATACAGGCATTGGGTCTGTGTGAATGGTTCTCTGCTTTTTAGCAGGTCAATTCATTTATACTTCTATTGTTTAACACCTCCCTAATTTGAAATGCAAAACAGCCCCCATGGTTTAACAACACCCCCCACCCCCCATAAAAGGGGTGTACCTGCAAGAAAGTGATAAATAAAAAAGTATACCAGTTTCATTTAAAAACCAAAGGATTGACAGCCGTCCCATATAGATTGCAAAATAGATTTTGACGTACCGATTCCATGGCAAATTGTTTATGAACTGATACGCAAAACGACGCCGGATTCAAAACTTAGAATTTTTCAATTTAAATTATTGTACAAAATTCTTGCTACCAATAGAATGTTATTTATATGGGGAATACAATCTTCCCAGCTCTGCAGATTTTGCTGCGAAGAGACAGAATCATTAGATCATTTGTTTTGGTACTGTCCATTTGTAGCTTGTTTTGGGTCACAGGTCCAGGAATGGCTGAAGGACTGCAATATTTACCTGGAGCTAACCCTGCAGATAGCACTACTGGGTGATCTGAAACGTATTAGTCAATCGATCAATAATATAATAATACTTTTAGCAAAAACAATTATTTTCAATTTACAATCTGTAGAAACAATGAGAACAGAAGGGTTCAGAACTTTTGTGAAACATCACAGTACAGTTGAAAAATATATGGCAAATAGAAATCCAATATGGATGGTGTTAAGAGATAGATGGGAGGGGTTGAATGGAGCTGAAGGTTGGGACTAATAACAACTAATAACAACTAACAACAACAAAATAACTAATGAAAAACATACTGTGTCCATAATAAGTATATAGGTTATAGGTTGAGAACTTTTGTGAAAGAGCACAGTTTGAAAGATATGACAACACATTTAAACTCAGTTTTTTTCACAATTCCTGACATTTAATCCTAGTAAGAATTCCCTGTCTTAGGTCAGTTAGGATCACCACTTTATTTTAAGAATGTGAAATGTCAGAATAATAGTAGAGAGAATCAGCTTTTATTTATTTCATCACATTCCCAGTGGGTCAGAAGTTTACATACACTCAATTAGTATTTGGTAGCATTGCCTTTAAATTGTTTAACTTGAGTCAAACGTTTTGGGTGGCCTTCCACAAGCTTCCCACAATAAGTTGGGTGAATTTTGGCCCATTCCTCCTGACAGAGCTGCTGTAACTGAGTCAGGTTTGTAGGCCTCCTTGCTCGCACACGCTTTTTCAGTTCTGCCCACAAATTGCCTATAGGATTGAGGTCAGGGCTTTGTGATGGCCACTCCAATACCTTGACTTTGTTGTCCTTAAGCCATTTTGCCACAACTTTGGAAGTATGCTTGGGGTCATTGTCCATTTGGAGACCCATATGCGACCAAGCTTTAACTTCCTGACTGATGTCTTGAGATGTTGCTTAAAGATTTCCACATAATTTTCCTTCCTCATGATGCCATCTATTTTGTGAAGTGCACCAGTCCCTCCTGCAGCAAACCACCCCCACAGCATGATGCTGCCACCCCCGTGCTTCACGTTTGGGATGGTGTTCTTCGGCTTGCAAGCACCCCCTTTTTCCTCCAAACATAACAATGGTCATTATGGCCAAACAGTTCTACTTTTGTTTCATCAGACCAGAGGACATTTCTCAAAAAGTACGATCTTTGTCCCCATGTGCAGTTGCAAACCGTAGTCTGGTTTTTTAGGGCGGTTTTGGAGCAGTGGCTTTTTCCTTGCTGAGCGGCCTTTCAGGTTATGTCGATATAGGACTCGATTTACTGTGGATATAGATACTTTTGTACCTGTTTCCTCCAGCATCTTCACAAGGTCCTTTGCTGTTGTTCTGGGATTGATTTGCACTTTTCGCACCAAAGTACGTTAATCTCTAGGAGACAGAACGCGTCTCATTCCTGAGTGGTATGATGGCTGCGTGGTCCCATGGTGTTTATACTTGCGTACTATTGTTTGTACAGATGAACGTGGTATCTTCAGGCGTTTGAAAATTGCTCCCAAGGATGAACCAGACTTGTGGAGGTCTACAATTTTTTTTCTGAGGTCTTAGCTGATGTCTTTTCATTTTCCCATGATGTCAAGCAAAGAGGCACTGAGTTTGAAGGTAGGCCTTGAAATACATCCACAGGTACACCTCCAATTGACTCAAATGATGTCAATTAGCCTATCAGAAGCTTCTAAAGCCATGACATCATTTTCTGGAATTTTCCAAGCTGTTTAAAGGCACTGTCAACTTAGTGTATATAAACTTCTGACCCACTGGAATTGTGATACAGTGAATTATAAGTGAAATAATCTGTCTGTAAACAATTGTTGGAAAAATTACTTGTGTCATGCACAAAGTAGATGTCTTAACCGACCTTCTTATTGGTGTCCTATAGTAGTGGTTTCTTTGCAGCAATTCGACCATGAAGGCCTGATTCACACAGTCCCCTCTGAACAGTTGATGTTGAGATATGTCTGTGACTTGAACTCTGTGAAGCATTTATTTGGGCTGCAATTTCTGAGGCTGGTAACTCTAATGAACATATCCTCTGCAGCAGAGGTAACTCTGGGTCTTCCTTTCCTGTGGCAGTCCTCATGAGAGCCAGGTTCATCATAGCACTTGATGGTTTTTGTGACTGCACTTGAAGTAACTTTCAAAGTTCTTGAAATGTTCCATATTGACTGACCTTCATGTCTTAAAATAATGATGGACTGTCGTTTCTCTTTGCTTATATGAGCTGTTCTTGCCATAATATGGACTTGATCTTTTACCAAATAGGGCTATCTTCTGTATCTTGTGTTTGTCACAACACAACTGAGTGGCTCAAACGCATTAAGACGGAAAGAAATTCCACAAATTAACTTTTAAGGCACACCTGTTAATTGAAATGCATTCCAGGTGACTACCTCATGAAGCTGGTTAAGAGAATGCCAAGCGTGTGCAAAGCCGTCATCAAGGGTGGCTATTTGAAGAATCTCAAATATTTGTTTAACACTTTTTTTGTTACTACATGATTCCACGTGTTATTTCATAGTTTTGATGTCTTCACTATTATTCTACAATGTAAAAAATAGTAAAAATAAAGAAAAACTCTTGAATGAGTAGGTGTGTCAAAACTTTTGACTGGTAGTGTACAGTGGGGGAAAAAAGTATTTAGTCAGCCACCAATTGTGCAAGTTCTCCCACTTAAAAAGATGAGAGAGGCCTGTAATTTTCATCATAGGTACACGTCAACTATGACAGACATGTATCGTGAGATTTTTAGTGAAAACCTCCTTCCATCAGCAAGGGCATTGAAGATGAAACGTGGCTGGGTCTTTCAGCATGACAATGATCCCAAACACACCGCCCGGGCAACGAAGGAGTGGCTTCGTAAGAAGCATTTCAAGGTCCTGGAGTGGCCTAGCCAGTCTCCAGATCTCAACCCCATAGAAAATCTTTGGAGGGAGTTGAAAGTCTGTGTTGCTCAGCGACAGCCCCAGCCCCAAAACATCACTGCTCTAGAGGAGATCTGCATGGAGGAATGGGCCAAAATACCAGCAACATTGTGTGAAAACCTTGTGAAGACTTACAGAAAACGTTTGACCTGTGTCATTGCCAACAAAGGGTATATAACAAAGTATTGAGAAACTTTTGTTATTGACCAAATACTTATTTTCCACCATAATTTGCAAATAAATTCATAAAAAATCCTACAATGTGATTTTCTGGATTTTTTTTCTCAATTTGTCTGTCATAGTTGACGTGTAATTACAGGCCTCTCTCATCTTTTTAAATGGGAGAACTTGCACAATTGGTGGCTGACTAAATACTTTTTTCCCCCACTGTATATATATTTGCAGGAAAAAAACATATGGGGAATTGCAGACAATTACATTAATGGAAGTTACAATCTATCTGCAATATTAAAGCTGATCTACCCCATAATTTTTTTTTTTTATAAGGGGCATCATATCAAATTTACATTTACATTTTAGTCATTTAGCAGACGCTCTTATCCAGAGCGACTTACAGTTAGCACATACATTATTTATTTTTTATCGAACCCACAACCCTGGCGTTGCAAACGCCATGCTCTACCAACTGAGCTACATCCCCTGCCGGCCATTCCCTCCCCTACCCTGGACGACGCTGGGCCAATTGTGCGCCGCCCCATGGGTCTCCCGGTCGCGGCCGGCTACGACAGAGCCTGGATTCGAACCAGGATCTCTAGTGGCACAGCTAGCACTGCGATGCAGTGCCTTAGACCCCTGCGCCACTCGAATCAAATCAAATGTTATTTGTCACATGTGCCGAACAGGTGTAATGCTTACTTACAAGCCCTTAACCAATAATGTAGTTTTAAGAAATTATAGTTAAGAAAATATTTACTAAATAAACGAAAGTAAAAAAGTAAAAGATTAAAGCACTATGGTGTTGAATGCTGAGCTGTAGTCAATGAACAGCATTCTCACATAGGTGTTCCTTTGGTCCAGGTGGAAAAGGGCAGTGTGGAGTGCATTTGAGATTGCGTCATCTGTGGATCTGTTGGGGCGGTATGCGAATTGGAGTGGGTCTAGGGTTTCCGGGATGATGGTGTTGATGTGAGCCATGACCAGCCTATCAAAGCACTTCATGGCTACCAACAATAGTCATTTAGGCAGGTTACCTTCGCTTTCTTGGGCACAGGGACTATGGTGGTCTGTTTTAAACGTGTAGGTATTACAGACTCGGTCTGGGGGAGGTTGAAAATGTCAGTGAAGACATTTGCCAGTTGGTCCGCGCATTGCTCTGAGTACACGTCCTGGTAATCCGTCTGGCCCCGCAGCCATGTGAATGTTGTTCTGTTTAAAGGTCTTGCTCACATCGGCTACAGAGAGCGTGATCACACAGTCGCCCGGAACAGCTGGTGCTCTCATGCATGCTTCAGTGTTGCTTACCTCGAAGCGAGCATAAAAAAGGCATTTAGCCCGTATGGTAGGCTCGCGTCACTGGGCAGCTCGCGGCTGGGTTTCCATGGTAGTCTGTAATACTTTGCAAGCCCTGCCACATCCGACGAGCATCAGAGCCGGTGTAGTAGGATTCAATCTTAGTCCTGTATTTACCATTTTGCCTGTTTGATGGTTCGTCTGAGGGCATAGCGTGATTTCTTATAAGCGTCCGGATTAGTGTCCCGCTACTTGAAAGCGGCAGCTCTAGCCTTTAGCTCGGTGCGGTAGTTGCCTGTAATCCATGGCTTCTGGTTCGGATATGTACGTACGGTCACTGTGGGAACGACGTCGTCGATGCACTTATTGATGAAGCCGGTGACTGAGGTGGTATACTCCTCAATGCCATTGGATGAATCCCGGAAAATATTCCAGTCTGTGCTAGCAAAACAGTCCTGTAGCGTAGCATCCGCGTCATCTGACCACCTCCATATTGAGCAAGTCAATGTAAGCAGGAATCAGGAGGATAGAATGATGGTCAGATTTGCCAAATGGAGTGCGAGGGAGAGCTTTGTATGTGTCTCAGTGTGTGGAGTAAAGGTGGTCTAGAGTTTTTTTTCTCCTCTGGTTGCACATGTGACATGCTGGTAGAAATGAGGTAAAACAGATTTAAGTTTGCCTGCATTAAAGCCACTAGGAGCGCCGCTTCTGGATCAGCATTTTCTTGTTTGCTTATGGCCTTATACAACTCGTTGAGTGCAGTCTTAGTGCCAGATTCAGTTTGTGGTGGTAAATAGACGGCTACGCTCTTGGTAGATAGTGTGGTCTACAGCTTATCATGAGGTACTCTACCTCAGGCGAGCAAAACCTCGAGACTACCTTAATATTAGACATCGCGCACCAGCTGTTATTGACAAATAGACACACACTCCCACCCCACGTCTTACCGGACGTAGCTGTTCTGTCCTGCCGATGCACGGAAAACCAAGCCAACTGTATATTATCTGTGTCGTCATTCAGCCACGACTCAGTGAAACATAAGATATTACAGGTTTTAATGTCCCGTTGGTAGGATAGTCTCGAACGGAGCTCATCCAGTTTATTCTCCAGTGACTGCACGTTGGCCAATAGAACGGATGGTAGAGGCGGGTTACCCACTCGCCGACGAATTCTCACAAGGCACCCTGATCTGCGCCCCCTGTATTTCCTCATTTTCTTAATGCGAATGACGGGGATTTGGGCCTTGGCTGGGAGCAACATTATATCCTTCGCGTCAGACTCATTATAGAAAAAATCTTCATCCAGTTCGAGGTGAGTAATCGCTGTTCTGATATCCAGAAGCTCTTTTCGGTCATAAGAGACGGTAGCGTCAACATTATGTACAAAATAAGTTACAAACAATACGTAAACACACACAAAATAGCACAATTGGTTAGGAGTCCTTAAAACGGCAGCCATCCCGTCCGGCGCCATTCTTTTATCATTGCCTTATATTTTTTAGAGGTAGTATACCACATCTTCTGTCTGAAATGGGTAATTGAGTCCTTTTCTCTGAATAACAAATCTGACACAGCCCCAGATACCACAGCTATATCTATACCCTGATTGAAAACAGAGAACTTGTGAAACAAGTGGACCAGTGACTGTAACTGACGGGAGGACACATCATATAAGACGAGCTCTGAATACTACTATTTGTCCACAAGGGCTAAGAATATTTTACATAGAGTATTTCTCTGAATACAGAGTTCACAAGTTCAATTCAAATCAAATCAAATTGTATTTGCCACATGCACCGAATACAACAGGTGTAGACATTACCGTGAAATGCTTACTTACAGCCCTTAACCAACAATGCATGTATTTCTTAATAAAAAAGTACAAATAAAACAACAACAACAAAAAAGTGTTGAGAAAAAAAGAGCAGAAGTAAACTAAAATAACAGTAGGGAGGCGATATACAGGGGGGTACCTGTGCAGAGTCAATGTGCGGGGTCACCGGCTAATTGAGGTAGTTGAGGTAATATGTACATGTGGGTAGAGGTAAAGTGACTATGCGTAAATAATTAACAGAGTAGCAGCAGCGTAAAAAGATGGGGTGGGGTTGCAAATAGTCCGGGTAGCCGTGATTAGCTGTTCAGGAGTCTTATGGCTTGGGGGTAGAAGCTGTTGAGAAACCTTTTGGACCTAGACTTGGCGCTCTGGTACCGCTTGCCGTGCGGTAGCAGAGAGAACAGTCTATGACTAGGGTGGCTGGAGTCTTTGACAATTTTGAGGGCCTTCCTCTGACACCGCCTGGTATAGAGGTCCTGGATGGCAGGAAGCTTGGCCCCAGTGATGTACTGGCCCGTACGCACTAACCTCTGTAGTGTCTTGCGGTCGGAGGCCGAGCAGTTTCCATACCAGGCAGTGATGCAACCAGTCAGGATGCTCTCGATGGTGCAGCTGTAGAACTTTTTGAGGATCTGAGGACCCATGCCAAATCTTTTCAGTCTCCTGAGGGGGAATAGGCTTTGTCGTGCCCTCTTCACGACTGTCTTGGTGTGTTTGGACCATTATAGTTCGTTGGTGATGTGGACACCAAGGAACTTCAAGCTCTCAACCTGTTCCACTACAGCCCCGTTGATGAGAATGGGGGCGTGCTCAGTCCTCTTTTTTTTCCCCTGTAGTCCACAATCATCTCCTTTGTCTTGGTCACGTTGAGGGAGAGGTTGTTATCCTGGCACCACACGGCCAGGTCTCTGACCTCCTCCCTACAGGCTGTTTCATCGTTGTCGGTGATCAGGCCTACCACTGTTGTGTCGTCGGCAAACTTAAATGATGGTGTTGGAGTCGTGCCTGGCCATGCAGTCATGGGTGAACAGGGAGTACAGGAGGGGACTGAGCACGCACCCCTGAGGGGCCCCCGTGTTGAGGATCAGCGTGGCAGATGTGTTGTTACCTACCCTTACCACCTGGGGGCGGCCCATCAGGAAGTCCAGGATCCAGTTGCAGAGGGAGGTGTTTAGTCCCAGGGTCCTTAGCTTAGTGATGAGCTTTGAGGGCACTATGGTGTTGAACGCTGAGCTGTAGTCAATGAATAGCATTCTCACGTAGGTGTTCCTCTTGTCCAGGTGGGAAAGGGCAGTGTGGAGTGCAATAGAGATTGCATCATCTGTGGATCTGTTGGGGCGGTATGCAAATTGGAGTGGGTCTATGGTTTCTGGGATAATGGGATAATGGTGTTGATGTGAGCCTTGACCAGCCTTTCAAAGCACTTCATGGCTACAGACGTTAGTGCTACGGGTCGGTAGTCATTTAGGCAAGTTATCTTAGTGTCCTTGGGCACGGGGACTATGGTGGTCTGCTTGAAACATGTTGGTATTACAGACTCAGTCAGGGACATGTTGAAAATGTCGGCGAAGACACTTGCCAGTTGGTCAGCACATGCTCGGAGTACACGTCCTGGTAATCCGTCTGGCCCTGAGGACTTGTGAATGTTGACCTGCTTAAAAGTTGGTTGGGGTATGTACGTCTGGTTGGGGTATGTACGTACGGTCACTGTGGGGACGACGTCATCGATGCACTTATTGATGAAGCCAGTGACTGATGTGGTGTACTCCTCAATGCTATCTGAAGAATCCCGGAACATGTTCCAGTCTGTGCTAGCAAAACAGTCCTGTAGCTTAGCATCTGCGTCATCTGACCACTTTTTTATTAACCGAGTCACTGGTGCTTCCTGCTTTAGTTTTTGCTTATAATCAGGTATCAGGAGGATAGAGTTATGGTCAGATTTGCCTAATTGAGGGCGAGGGAGAGCTTTGTATGCGTCTCTGTGTGTGGAGTAAAGGTGGTCTAGAGATTTTTTTCCCTCTGGTTGCACATTTAACATGCTTGTAGAAATTAGGTAGAACGGATTTAAGTTTCCCTGCATTAAAGTCCCCGGCCACTAGGAGCGCTGCCTCTGGATGAGCGTTTTCCTGTTTAGTTATGGCCTTATACAGCTCATTGAGTGCAATCTTAATGCCAGCATTGGTTTGTGGTGGTAAATAGACAGCTATGAAAAATATAGATGAAAACTCTCTTGGTAAATAGTGTGGTCTACAGCTCATCATAAGGTACTCTACCTCAGGCGAGCAAAACCTCGAGACTTCCTTAGTATTTGATTTTGTGCACCAGCTGTTATTTCAAATATACACAGACCTATCCTGCCGATGTAGTGTATAGCCCGCTAGCTGTATGTTGTCCATGTCGTCGTTCAGCCACGACTCTGTGAAATATAAGATATTACAGTTTTTTATGTCCTGTTGGTAGGATAAGCGTAATCGTAGGTCATCTAATTTATTTTCCAATGATTGAAGATTGGCTAATAGGATTGATGGAAGAGGCAGTTTACTCGCTCGCCGTCGGATCCTTACGAGGCACCCCGACCTACGTCCACGATATCTCAGTCTCTTTCTCCTGCGAATTACGGGAATTTGGGCCTTGTCGGGTGTCTGTAGGATATCCTTCGCGGTCGCCTCGTTGAAGAAAAAATCTTTGTCCAATACGAGGTGAATAATCGCTGTCCTGATATCCAGAAGCTCTTTTTGGTTATAAGAGACAATGGCAGAAACATTATGTACAGAATAAATGACAAATAACGTGAAAAAACACACATAATAGTACAATTGGTTAGAGGGCTGTAAAATTGGATTTGGATAGAGTTTCTTTCCATTCCTCCCTCTCTGTCTCATACACAGACATGCACGCACACTCCAACGCAAACGTGTACTCTGCCACAAGCTGTAAGGACTTGTTTCTTTGTTAGCATGCCTCAGCCCAGCAGGGTCAACAATAACAAAGATGGACAGAAAGGTATGATGATAACTGTACAGGACTGGACAGATCTCACATTAGTTACAAGGTACAGTTCCTCATATGCCTCCAGATATGGATTGTAGGAGGCATGCAGGGAAAAGGGGAGTGAGGAATAGAGGGAGGAGAGCGAGGAAAGGGTGAGGGTATAGAGAGAGGGAGTCTGACTAACTTACAGTGCATTCGGAAAGTATTCAGACCCCTTGACTTTTTCCACATTTGTTATGTTACAGCCTTATTCTAAAATTGATTAAATAAATAAAAATCCTCATCAATCTACACACAATACCCCATAATGAAAAAGCAAAAACTGGTTTTTAGAAATGTTTGCAAATGTATTAAAAATAAAAAACTGAAATACCTTATTTACATAAGTATTCAGACCCTTTGCTATGAGACTCGAAATTCAGCACAGGTGCATCCTGTTCCCATTGGTTATCCTTGAGATGTTTCTACAACTTGATTGGAGTCTACCTGTGGTAAATTCAATTGAATGGACATGATTTGGAAAGGCACACACCTGTCTATATAAGGTCCCACAGTTGACAGTGCATGTCAGAGCAAAAACCAAGCCATGAGGTCGAAGGAATTGTACGTAAAGCTCAGAGACAGGATTGTGTCAAGGCACAGATCTGGGGAAGGGTAGCAAAAAATGTCTGCAGCATTGAAGGTCCCCAAGAACACAGTGGCCTCCATCATTCTTAAATGGAAGAAGTTTGGAACCCCCAAGACTCTTCCTAGAGCTGGCCACCCGGCCAAACTGAGCAATTGGGGGAGAAAGGCCTTGGTCAGGGAGGTGACCAAGAACCCGATGGTCACTCTGACAGAGCCAGAGTTCCTCTGTGGAGATGGGAGAAACTTCCCGAAGGACAACCATCTCCGCAGCCCTCCACCAATCAGGCCTTTATGGTAGAGTGGCCACTCCTCAGTAAAAGACACATGACAGCCCGCTTGGAGTTTACCAAAAGGCAGCTAAAGACTCTCAGACCATGAGAAACAAGATTATCTGGTCTGATGAAACCAAGATTGAACTCTTTGGCCTGAATGACAGGTGTCACATCTGGAGGAAACCTGGCACCATCCCGAAAGGTGAAGCATGGTGGTGGCAGTGTCATGCTGTGAGGATGTTTTTCAGCGGCAGGGACTGGGAGACTAGTCAGGATACAGTCAAGTACAGAGAGATCCTTGATGAGCGCTCAGGACCTCAGACTGGGGCGAAGGTTCACATTCCAACAGGACAATGACCCTAAGCACATAGCCAAGACAACACAGGTGTGGCTTCGGGACAAGTCTCTGAATGTCCTCAATTTTAGAATAAGGCTGTAACGTAACAAAATGTGGAAAAAGTCAAGGGGTCTGAATACTTTCTGAATGCACTGTACCTGCCTCTGGTGTGGCGGTGCACACACACGTGCACACACACACACCATTCTAACACCTTCATGTATTTATTCATGGCTTGATTCTAAATGTATGTTGCTTTTATTGTATATAGGTGTGCCTTAAGATACAGTGCCTTCAGAAATTATTCACACCCCTTCACTTTTCCATATTTTGTTACATTACAGCATTTTCTAAATTTATTCCTGAATTTAAAATGGATGAAATTGATATTTTGTATTACTGATCTACACACAATATCCCATAAAGTCAAAGTTTTTAGAATTGTTTGCAAATTAATACAAAATGAAAAGATGCATTTACAAATGATTAAATAACAGTTAATAATGTAATTATAACCCCTTTATAAATGGAACCTTATTGTAAAGTGTTACCAATAGTGTTTACCATGATTTTTGAATGACTACCTCATCTCTGTACCTCACACATACAATTATCTATAAGGTCCCCCAGTCGAGCAGTGAATTTCAAACACAGATTCAACCACAAAGGCCAGGGAGGTTTTCAAATGCCTCGCAAAGAAGGGCACCTATTGGTAGATGGGTAAAAAAATACATGACATTGAATATCCATTTGAGCATGGTGACGTTATTAAGATACAGCCGTCCTTCCTAACTCAGTTGGATGGCTTATCAATACACCCAGTCGCTACAAAGATACAGGCGTCCTTCCTAACTCAGTTGCCGGAGCAAAGTTGGGTGTGTGAAAGAGTACTGAAGCAGCTGGTAGGTATTTTGTTTTACTTGTCTGACATGTGTGTGTAGGAGCTGTGTCTGTAAGGTCAAGGGTCAGGCAGATATCCTCCATCACAGTGACACAATGAGACCTGACACACACACACACACATAAACACACATACATACATGCACACACATACATACAGACACACATCATAGGCACAACACACATGCCAGCGTGTCTGCCTAAAGAGAGTGACCCGTACATGGAAGTGTCCTGCTTACACAAGGAAGCTGACACTTCCAAGTCAGTGCATGCCTCGGTGTGCAAAGAGTATCATAGTACACACATATGCACGCAAGAGACGCACACAGAAAAATATGCCGTCGATATAAATAAGCTTCATATTAATGACAGTGTGTGTACACACCAACGACACAAACAACTACTGACAATGTTTTTAATCCCGATGAGATCACCAGGTTAAAGAAATGATGACAAAGAAGAAGAGAGTAGACTAAGAAGAAAGAAGCTCTCTAAGACAGAAAATAAGTTGTGTTGTCAGAGGGGAACGCAACAAAGGGACACACACAGATACGCTCACTCACACACGCACGAGCAAGCACACATTGGGGCAGTTCTCTAATTGTGAAGCACATGTTGTGAATTAAGACCCTGGAATTCCGACTTCACATAATCTAACTCTGCTGGCCGCTCAGAAACACACACACACACACATCTTCAGAGGATAAATGCCCACAGATGGAAGATACACAAAGAAGGAGAAACTCTGAAACTTCAATGCCTGCCCTCCACAAACACACCCAGGCCAGACAGAAAGGTATATTCAATGAGGTGTATTGACAGTCAACAGCCCCTCCATCACCTTCATATGAAGGAATAATCACCATTGTCTTCAACATACTGCTGATGAGAAACACAGAACTGCAGAGAGCTGGGGAAATCCCAGATGTGTATTTGTGTGTTTTTATATATAAGTGTGTGTGTGTGTGTGTGTGTGTGTGTGTGTGTGTGTGTGTGTGTGTGTGTGTGTGTGTGTGTGTGTGTGTGTGTGTGTGTGTGTGTGTGTGTGTGTGTGTGTGTGTGTGTGTGTGTGTGTGTGTGTGTGTGTGTGTGTGTGTGTGTGTGTGTGTGTGTGTGTGAGAGAGCTTGAGGAGGCCCAAATTGAGTTACGGGAATTCCTTTGCTCTTGTATCGGTCTCAGCTTTGGGTCGAGTTTCCTCCTAAGGCCTCACAAACTGACTGTGTGTGTGTGTGTGTGTGTGTGTGTGTGTGAGTGTTTGTCAGATAAAGCTCTCCTTTCTGATGTGTTCTCTCTGATCGTGTTCTGGCAGTAGGAACCTAAAGCCAGTCGTTCTCTTGGGGAATAATTTCAGTGCGACAAAGAAATAGACTCTGTGGGAGGCCAGATAGCTGCAATCCAATCCTGCTGGGCACCATCAACACAATGGTGTGTGTGTATCAAATCAAATTGTATTTGTTGCGTACACAGTTTAGCAGATGTTATAGCGGGTGTTATGCAAAATGTGTGTGTGTGTGTAAGTGTTTTTTTTTCTTCTCTAGAACTGGTTTTAGCCTAACAACCAGTAGTAGTAGTAGCTGAACATACTGATCAGCCAGTAGACAAGGAAATGGAGAGAGGTTGGGGGAGGTGTGTGAAGAAAGAGTAACAATGAGAGTGACTTGTGTGTTGATGTGGAAATGGGTGTTACACTGAGCTACAATGCAAAGACACTCCTCTTCATTAAAACAATAGGCCCATGTGTAAAACCTACCTCCCATGGGACAGAGGGGGTAGGGGGAGAGGGCATGAAACCGATTAGTTAAAATCTTTGGCCTCATCCGTATAGTGCAGATTTTGTGTGTGTGTGTGTGTGTCTGTCCCTCCCCCAGCCTAACCCAGTGACCCTTCACCCCTTACCTCTGACCCTCAGCTAAAAAAAGACCCAGAGATGGGAAGTGTGTGTGCTGGGGGTGAAAATAATGACGACATTTCAATAGCATAGCTCCTCCTTTGGACAGAGCTGTGTGTGTGTGTGTACACATCCAATTTTCCATCAACATTGCTTACACAGCATGACAGAGCCCATGAGAAGAAGAGATGACAGGGATCTGACAGATACGCACACACACGCTTATCAGTAAGGGAGTTTGATAAAGCTGAAACGCGGTGCACCGGGCTATGGCCGGTGATGTGAATGGGCAAAAGCGGTGAGGGAGGAGAGCGCCCTTCTCAAATCAAGCAGTAATCTGCGCCGCTCGGTCATGTTGTCAACAAGGCATGCGTCATTAAGAAACATTTTATATAAAACATATGTTTGAATTTTCAAACTAGTTTGTATTGGGAAGGCAGATAAAGCATGTGAAAACCCAGAATCCTACTCATTACTCCTGCATTACTGCTTCACCTATTGTGGTCACTTTTGTTTTGTCAGCCAAAACGGGGTAACTGGCTCACGGCCGGGATTCCGCCCGGTTCCAAAACCAATGCAATCAAAGCTAACCCGGTTCACCCGGGGCATTAATCTAATCCCCTCAGTGTGTGGGCTACTCCATCTTACCCAACCAAGTAGTTATCATATAACGGAAAAGATGTTGACCACAGACAAGCTGACCACCATGACGACTAACTATAAAGCACAACAACATTCTAACGGCAAACCCTTTATCCTGCAATGAATCCATAAATCAATCTGACCAACTGAAATCATTATTTGGACTAGTAGTGAGCCCTATTTTTAAAACATAATATTACCCATTCCCAAGCTGCAGAAGTTTCATTTATATTGGAATTTGTGTCTTAGTGGTGAATTAAAAGCATGAAATCATATTACACACATAGAAATAGGAGAGAAACTCTAGCCATGGCAAATATTCAGACCAGCAAGGAACACAATGACATCACAATGACTTTCTGTTCAATAGATATCACTATAGAGCAGGGGTATTCAACCTTTACCCTATGAGGTCCGAAGCCTGCTGGTTTTCTGTTCTACCTGATAATTAATTGCACCCACCTGGTGTTCCAGGTCTAAATCAGTTCATGATTAGAGGGGAACAATGACAAAACGCAGTGGAACTGGCTTCGAGGTCCAGAGTTGAGTTTGAGGGCTATAGAGTATGGAGTCATTGATCAGTTGTGAGGAATATGATTAAAATCATTCGTATGCATATTTGTTCACTAACATTTTGACAAAGTTTTCAAACAGGTAGAGTTAGTGAGACCTAGTCTGTGGAATTCAAACTCTCCCTTTCTCTCGCGAGATGTTACATTTTACATTTATATTTACACTGAACAAAAATATAAACGCAAAGTGTTGGTTCCATGTTTCATGACGCACAACAAAAAAAAAGCGTATTTCTCTCAAAGTTTGTGCACAAATTTGTTTATATCCCTGTTAGTGAGCATATCTCCTTTGCCAAGATAATCCATCCACCTGACAGGTGTGACATATCAAGAAGCTGACTAAACAGCATGATCATTACACTGGTGCACCTTGCGCTGGGGACTCTAAAATGTGCAGTTTGGTCACACAACACAATGCCACAGACCTCTCATGTTTTGAGGGAGCGTGCAATTGGCATGCTGAATGAATGTCCACCAGAGCTGTTGCCAGATAATTGAATGTTAATTTCTTTACCATAAGCTGCCTCCAACATCGTTTTAGAGAATTTGGCAGTACGTCCAACCGGCCTCACAACCGCAGACCATGTGTAACCACGCCAGCCCAGGCCATTCACATCCGGCTTCTTCACCTGCGGGATCGTCTGAAACCAGCCACCCGGACAGCTGATGAAACTGAGGAGTATTTCTGTCTGTAATAAAGCCCTTTTGTGGGGAAAAACTCATTCTGATTGGCTGGGCCTGGCTCCCCAGTGGGTGGGCCTATGCCCTCCCAGGCCCACCCATGGCTGTGCCCCTGCCCAGTCATGTGAAATCCATAGATTAGACACTAATGAATTTATTTCAATTGAACTGTAACTATCGTTGAAATTGTTGCATGTTGGGTTTATATTTTTGTTTAGTATAAGTCATTTAGCAGACACTCTTATCCAGAGCAACTTACAGGAGGAGTAGTAGGTGGCTTCACTCTCATGCGTACTGGTGTGTGTGTGTGTGTATTCTGGACAAACAGCATTCCCGACACTAGATTTTCTGCCCCACCCCCCAAACATTCCCCACTCTCCAATCCAAGACTTCCAAGAGGGGAGTCGGTTACACGTGTGTGGTGTGTGAGTGCACGCTCACACACACACACACACCACACACACACTAGACACATAGCTGTCCATTTCCAAACAACTCACATTCCACATTGGCCTGTAAAAGAAGAGACCATCCCCACTTGAATACCAACCAACCAACACTTTACACTACTCAACTCTACCCCCAACCCCTGCCTCCAACTCCAGTGTGTCGTGTGTGTGTGAGTGTGTCTAGTTTGTCTGTGTCTAGTGTGTGTGTGTGTGTGCATATAGTGAGTGTGTGTGTGTGTTTGTGTGCATTTTTACTTGTGCATATAGTGTTTGCGAATGTATGTGCATGGAAAGGGGGCAGTGTGTGTGAAGCCATCTGGTCAGTGCGGTTGATGGTGGTCCAGAGTCTCTATAGATCAAAGGGGAACTTTTCCTCTTTGTACTGATCTTCCTCATCTGCGTACAGACCCCAGTGTGTAGGGAAAGGTTGGAGAACTGGGTCACTGTGTGTGTATCTGCCCTCAGGGAGAGGAGGGGTGAGGTAGGGTGAGAGGAGGGGTGAGGCAGGGTGACAGGAGGGGTCAGATAGGGTGAGAGGAGAGGTGAGGCAGGGTGAGAGGAGGGGTCAGATAGGGTGAGAGGAGAGGTAGGGTAAGGCAGGGTGAGATGAGGGGTGATGTAGGGTGAGAGGAGGGGTGAGGCAGGGTGAGAGGAGGGGTCAGATAGGGTGAGAGGAGAGGTAGGGTAAGGCAGGGTGAGATGAGGGGTGAGGTAGGGTGAGAGGAGGGGTGAGGTAGGGTGAGAGGAGAGGTAGGGTAAGGCAGGGTGAGATGAGGGGTGAGGCAGGGTGAGAGGAGGGGTGAGGCAGGGTGAGAGGAGGGGTCAGATAGGGTGAGAGGAGAGGTAGGGTAAGGCAGGGTGAGATGAGGGGTGAGGTAGGGTGAGAGGAGGGGTGAGGCAGGGTGAGAGGAGGGGTGAGATAGGAAGATGAACACTAGAACTAATCATCAGCTGGAGGACTAGAGGCAGAGACATCACAGTTCAAACACACCATTGAGTGAGTCATTACTGGAAAACAGAGCCCTTACTGGCAATGTTATGTGTATGTATGATGTGTGTGTATATGATGTATGTGTGTGTGTGAGTCACTCCCTCCAACAGAAGCCATCTGGTAAACAATACCTATAATAATGAGTGAGGACAACGAAGACTTGCTTTTAAGTAATGTTGCTCTTGTGGAATGTCTCTCCTTGACCACTACAGATATCACAGTAACCAAGTTCCAGTTGCATGTTTTTTTAAAATGTTTTTATTGGTCGCCCTCTCTACTCCCTCGCCGAGCCACTAGTCTTCTCTTCCCTCTGCCTATGGGTTCTATGCTGTCAGCGAAACATATGTGGATTGAGATGCCTCTCCCTCTGACTGGTGTGTACAGTGCACATGCCTGCCTGTGTCTCCAGGGAAGTAGGTGAAAAGCCACTGAGCTCGTCTTTGAACTCCAGGCCATATGGCCCTCCGTAAGGCCCTGGCTACGACACACTTACTGTAATACTATTACACTGTGTTTGTGTGGTGTGTGTGTGTGTGTGTGGTTACTACACAGATAATGCTATTACACTGTGTTTGTGTGGTGTGTGTGTGTGTGGTTACTACACAGATAATGCTATTACACTGTGGTACCAGGGGGTCAGGGGTAAGGCTGCCTGGTATCACTCAACTAGCTGGCATTACAGACAGAACTGCTGGGCTTTAAACAGTTTATGTTGGTGTTTGTTTTTGACATGGCTGTGTGTGTGTGAGTGTGTGTGTGTGTGCACAGAGTGCTAATGTGAGAGGGTCTAAAGTCCACACCTATGGCCATATGAAGACCAGCTGTAAGGACTAAGCCTATAGCTGCAGCGTAGTGATTTAGGGAGAACAGCGTAGTGAAGCAGTGCTCAACCCAGAAACCCTGTGGATCCACAGAGTGAAGGCACTACCTCCTGTGCCATATACTCTAGGCCCAGACCTCATTATCATTTGAATGTGTGTGTGTATGTGTGTGCAAGTGTGTGTCCCTACCTCGTTGTCGTGGTTCTGACAGAAGCTCATCCTGTCCTGGAACAAAGGTAGCAGTGAGAAGTTGTAGTGAAAGGACTGGGCCAGGGAGACGCCCACACCTCCCCCTCCTTCTCCAACTCCTCCGATGGGGCTGGCCTTGCCTCGATCCGCTTGGTGCTGGTGCAGGCTCTCAGCCAGCCTCTCGATGAAGTGGTCCTTGGTCAGCCGGACCCTCTGGTGGGCGCGGACGCAGTTATCACACAGGTACTCCTGGCAGTCCAGGCAGTGGGAGCTGGCCGGGTTCCCCTCGTCACAGGAGCTGCATTGGGGCTCTCCCAGGCGGTGTGGGCGGAGGAGCCCGCCGTGGGGGTGGTGGAACCCGGGTATGGAGCCCACACCGACCCCCCGGTGGTGGCCGTTCGTATTCTGGCCGAGTTGGAGTTGCTCCTCGGTGCTCACCACCACGTCCAGAAGGTTACTGAAGAGGAAGTTGGAGGAAGGGAGGGAGTCCACTCCGGCTTCGGAGATGGAGACCTTCTGATTGCAGGTGGGGCAGCAGAGTTTGAGAGGGTCCCCAGGGCTGCGCTGGCCCTCCAGACACTGCCTGCAGAAAGCGTGGAGGCAGGGGAGAACATGGAGGCGCCGGGAGGAGGAGGACGACAAGGAGGAATGAGAGGAGGAGGATGAGGTGGAGGAGTTGGAGGAAATAGGAGTGGAGGAGGAGCCGCAGAGCTCCTTGCAGAGAGGACAGGTTTGCAGGTCGGAGTCTGAGAATGAAGCCATCTGAGGGGTTTTAAACAAGGCTACACTTTATAAGAACATCCACTGAGGTATTACTGAGGTATTCATTTGGGATACATATGTTTGTTTCTCCCCTTGTGTTCTCTTCTGTGGAAAACAGGCTGAGGTTCTTGAGGTAGATATGTTGTTTTTTACAGTCAAAATAGACATACATAGGATAGGCCTATAGGTGTTATCTCAAAAAAATAACCCTCAACTGACGCCAGATATGCAAATAAAGGCAGCCCTTTCATAAGATTCTCTTCAAATCAAATTAGCAATATTCATTTCAGTTCACAATGATTAAATCTCTTTACTTGGATATGGCTTTAGAATAATCATTATAGGCTACTCACTACAATTATGGCCAACTTTACATAGGCCTAAATCTATTCTCTTTTTCTGGGGGGATGGGTTATTTTCATGAGGGCATGTCCAAAAGAGCCACCTTTAGAGTTGACTGGTTTATGTTTATTTATTCGTTTGTTGTTGTTATTGTTTTAGATGTCGCGGCATGGCGGGTTTATAGAATAATCCGAAAACAGAATGTGTACAGGATCCTCCGCAAAGTGCCCAAAGCTCCTTTTCTCCTCTCCAACCGACACAGCATCACACCACTCAATGTCCAAATCTTTCGTCCCGTTTCAGAGTCAGTGTTGTTGGCTCTCTCTAGTCATCACTCGGGGCCCTCTCCGACGGCGTCAGAGGCTGGCAGAAGGCGGTGGTTGTGGTTCGCTCTCTCTCCACCGACAAGACCGTAAATTATTCATCAAAGCATTGGCTCACCAGCGACTCGATCTCATTGCCGCTCTATAGGTCCGTTTGGCGACAAAATAACCCCAACCGTCTCCTTTTTTAAACCCCCACTTCTTTACGCACAGTCCCACAGTCGAAACCAGCTCCAGGCACGTATGTATTTACGTATGCGTATCCCCCTTCTTTCTCTCTCCCTCCCTCCCTTCGCGAGGAGGAATGCACAGGGCTTTTCCACGCGCCTCTCTGGAACCTTGGAGGAGGAAAGGCACGAGCCTCCGAGTCACTCAAATCGCATAAACCTTAAGGAACTCAGAAGGTGCTATGGAAATGCCGTTTTATAACGATTCTGTAGGCCCAATCGGTCTGTCTGTAGTTCTATTTTCCGTTCTGGTGAACGCGCTCTGAAATATAAACACAGACACATACACAACACGGTGCGGTCCTATTGCTGGCCGCGCGCTCGTCCCGTCCTGTTTATGGGCGCGTGTTGCTGACTGATCCTCCAACCGCTTTAATCCTACTGGGAGGAATGGACACACTTCCGTCCTGGCTGGGAGGAGGGGAGGGGAGTGGAAGAGAGAGGAGGGGAAACGGGCAGGGGCTTGGCTTTTTGCTTGCATGGGGGCGAGGGGCTAGGGAGGCTCAGGCCCTTGTGATGGAGGTGTGTGCCATATGCTCAGGCAAATTCAAATTTCAAAAAATAAATACAAGTTTCCATTTACATTTTACATTTTAGTCATTTAGCAGACGCTCTTATCCAGAGCGACTTACAGTTAGTGAGTGCATACATTTTCCAGACAGGTGATTTATAATGTTATTTATTCCCCGACTCCCAGTTTGGAGGGCCTCTTGTAAAATAATTTAGATGAATGAATGTGTTGTAGCCTAGCCTGTTGTAATAACAGTTTATCTTTGTTCCATTAGAAGCACCTGTCTTTTTGTACACATTTATGCTAAAGTCACTGATCGATGGGGTCCATGGGGAGACTTGAATCCCCTGTAGATTTACTTATTTGATATTCCCTAAATCTCCCTGTGTGTGTGTGGGCACATGTGTGCATGTGTCAGGGACGGACTGGCCATAGGGCAATTCTGGCAAATGCCAGATGGGCTGGTCCATTCTCAGCCCAGTGGGCCTGTCTAAATTGGGTGTTTTCCGCAAAATGATCACTATTTGGCTAATAATGGGGGCTTCAAGGAAAAACAATTGTCCGGTGTGGGGGCCTCAATAAATGGGCTGGTATGATATAAATGCCAGCACCAATTTCTGGTCCCAGTCCGTCCCTGTGTGTGTGTGTAGTGTGTGTGTATATGTGTGTGTGTGCACGCTTGTGTGAGTGTGTGTGTGAAGCATGCATATATGTGAAGTGTGTGTGTGTATGTGTGTTATGTCTGACATGACATCCTAGAAAGTAACCTTGACACAAATAACCAACAGGAGGCTTTGGCACAGTTGGCAGCAACACACTAACTACACGCATGACACGTACAGGTATATGATCGGCGTGTATGCAGCAGATGTGTTCCAGATAACCTCCATGTCTGACATGCCTTGTTTAAGAAGATAATATACTGTGTGTAGGTGCAGTATATACAGTATTAGGTACTGTATGTTGAAGTCAGAGTGTAATTCACTCTCCCATACATCAAATCAAATGTATATGCCACATGCGCCAAATACAACAGGTGTAGACCTTTCAGTGAAATGCTTACTTACAAGGCCTTAACCAACAATGCAGTTTTAAGAAAAAAAAGAGTTAAGTAAAAAATAGGGAAGTAAAACAATTATAATAAAAAATTATTAAAGAGCAGCAGTAAAATAAAATAACAGTAGGGAGGCTATATACAGGGGGTACCAGTACAGAGTCAATGTGCGGGGGCACCGGTTAGTTGAGGTAATTGAGGTAATATGTACGTGTGGGTAGAGTTAAAATGACTATGCATAAATAATAAACAGAGTAGCAACAACGTAAAAGAGGGGATTGGGGTGGGGTGGGGTGGGGGGGGGAAATGCAAATAGTCTGGGTAGCCATGATTAGCTGTTCAGGAGTCTTATGGCTTGGGGGTAGAAGCTGTTAAGAAGCCTTTTGGACCTAGACTTGGTGCTCCAGTACCGCTTACCGTGCGGTAGCAGAGAGAACAGTCTATGACTAGGGTCGCTGGAGTCTTTGACAATTTTTAGGGCCTTCCTCTGACATCACCTGGTATAGAGGTCCTGAATGGCAGGAAGCTTGGCCCCAGTGATGTACTGGGCCATACGCACTACCCTCTGTAGTGCCTTGCGGTCGGAGGCCGAGCAGTTTTCATACCAGGCGGTGATGCAACCAGTCAGGATGCTCTCGATGGTGCAGCTGTATAACTTTTTGAGGATCTGAGGACCCATGCCAAATCTTTTCAGTCTCCTGAAGGGCAATTGGCTTTGTTGTGCCCTCTTCACGACTGTCTTGGTGTGTTTGGACCATGATAGTTTGTCTTAGGTACATATTTGTAGCAATTGAGGTGGGAAAGCTGAAGCGTGGTTTGAACCAGCAACACTGTCCATGGGGCAAGTACACTACCAACTGTGCCATAAAGGTCCAGATCTCTTAGCATTGGCTGTAGTAGTAGCCTATTCCAATTAGCTCAGTTCAGACCGATACACGTATCTATGGAATAGGGCTGAATATGGAATTGAGCATTCGATTAGGAAAATGGGGGGAAATAATTAAAGAGGAGGAGAAAGGGTCATTTGCACAGTCAAAAACAGGAGAGAGGGCAGGACAGGGTTAGGGCATGATCATGGGATTGTTGTCTGAACTAATGATAGGGATCACTGGTAGAAACACTCTGGTAGAAATGCATTATGTAGAATAGGCATGCATCAGAAAGAGATATATTCTTTAGAACAGACATCATTTAGGATATTTCATATTGGGCAGACATAATCAGAAGAAATACTCTTGAGAATGTGCGTGTTCCCCCAAAACTCTTGGGACCAGTTCCATTTCTGCTCCTAGACTCTTTCCCCAAAACTCTTGGGCCCAGTTGAATTTCTGTTCCTAGATCATTTCCCTTTAATATGGTTACTTCAACATGCACAGACAGACATGAAATGACTGGATTAGGGCGAGGCCAGACTGGTATACGACAGATACGTAACCATCCTAGACTGTTCGCTCTGCTACAGCACGGCAAGCAGTACCGATGCACCAAGGCTGGAACCAATAAGACTGTCAACAGCTTCTACCCCCAAGCCATAAGACTGCTAAATAGTTAACCAAATAGCTACCCAGACTATCTGCATTGACCCTTTTTGAACTAACTTTGTCTCATCACATACGCTGATGCTACTGATTATTATCTGTCAATTTATTCCTGGTTATATGTACATATCTACCTCAATTACCTTGTACCGCTGCACATTGACTCGGTACTGGTACCCCCGTGTATATAGCCAGGTTATTGTTACTCATTTTGTATTTATTATTACATGTTATTACTTTTCTATTATTTCTCTATTTTCTTTCTGCATCGTTGGGAAAGGCCCATAAGCGTTTCACTGTTAATCTACACCTGTTGTTTAGAAAGCATGTGACAAATAAAATGTGATTTGATCTGTTTAGCCAATTAGAAAAGAGGGCATTTTATATGTCTCACACTCCACACGTGCACAGACCAAAATTCATCCGTTCTAATTTGGTGTCCGTTCTCCACGCATCAGTCTGGTCTCGCATTAGTCTTAGAGTACCTCTCTAATGAGAGAACATCAAGCCAGCTCCAAATATTTTCTATGTATGACAATAGTAGAGGACACACTCCCTCTAGTGGAGCTTAGACAGCATTACCAGCTTCACCTCAATATAATAATTATACCACTTAGGAGGAGGATTACTTAAGATAATGTCAGAAGAGGTAAGGTTTCAGATGTTTTGGGAAGATGGGCAGGGACTCCGCTGTCCTAGCTTCAGGGGGAAGCTGATTCCACCATTGGGGTGCCAGGACAGAGAAGAGCTTGGACTGGGCTGAGCGGGAGCTGCCCTCCTGTAAGGGTGAGAGGGCCAAGAGACCTGAGGTGGCAGAACCGAGTGCTTGGGTTTGGGGTGTAGGGTTTGATGGCACAAGCGGGGAGCCCTGCCAACATCGAGTTGCAGTAGTCCAGACGGGAGAGGACAAGTGCCTGGATTAGGACCTGCGGCGCTTCCTGTGTGAGATAGGGTCGTACTCTACATATGTTGTAGAGCATGAACCTGCAGGAGCGGGTCACTGCT